CACGATAAGGAATGTATTCTCACTTAAGTGGACATACAGTGTAAAAGTAATAGGCTAGGTTTAGTGTAATATTAATATTTATGAATTACTTTCTTAGTTTTAATGACGAGAATTATCGTGTTAAAAAACATCTCAGAATTATTAAAGGAAGCAAAACAGATAATATTAATTTATATTTTTAAAAGATTAAATACTTAGTTCATCAATACAATCCCCTCACGGAACATAACCACTTGGAGCTTAAGTGTGGCTCGACTGTCTAACAGCCAATAACCAATGATAATACAGCATTATCATTACATTTCAATTATTAATTAAAAAAATATAGTTTACCTTATATCCCGCACCATATTCATATATAAAGCTTTACAATATGGACAATAGTACCCTCAGCACTTAAATACTACTCTTAGAAGTTTCGAAAAGCCAAACCCTCGTTCATTTAAATCTCGTGCTCTGCTTATTCCATTTTGAGTAAATGCAAGACTTAAATCAATTTATTGCAAAACCTCTTCCTACAAATCAATTTACAATTTACCGTATTATTTTTATTATGCCTGGGTAATTGTTGTCACCATGATATTCCAAGTTATTTAGACTATAAGATTTGATACTTTAATCGTTTAAACTACAAAGTGATTTAAAATGTAAATGAAATAATAAGTAATGCTGGAAGAGGAATATTTCAATTTTAGTTATCCTAGACAGATGATCACTATGCTTGAGATATATCTCGCTATAGGAAGAATTTGTTAAAAGCATCAATCATAAAGAAAAATACAAATATAAAATGTAAAATTTGTATTAAACTGTTTAACCAAAAATGTATGGAATGTAACGTGAGTTTATGACATGATGCATGGTAAACAAGTTAGAATCCTGTGTGAATATTGAGTGAAGTTGATATATCACAAACCGACCACCAACTGTTCCTGCTTGTTATTGACTTTGTAACTGAGAATTCGCCGTGTACGTGTCCAGAGGTCAAGTAATAAATGTAATATTACTATTAAATATAATTTGTTAGCTTTAGTTGTTTTTTTATAATTTGTTGTACTGAAGTTACTGAATAACGCCGACCTTTTGTAAACATTGTACTATCGTATTACCGTAACATCGTACGTTCAGAATCGTTTTATAAACAATCATCAGAGACCTTCTTTATATTATACTATATAGATTCAAATAAAAGTTTCAAAACATTTATGATCACGGTAGATAACCATAACCATGTATACTATTTATGTCTATACTGTTTTGCCAGCAAATCAAGAAAACTTTAAATAAAAAGTACTAAGAGCTCGACTTACATTTACCCCTATAACAAGTTAATACATCTATATGAGGTTTAAATAGTGTAGTTAAAAAGTGTAAATAAACACTTCTGTTTGATTACTTCTATCAGTCCTTGAATATCGGAATTTATGCTAAACTCTGATAGCCATGCTGGTAGTCCCCAGTTCTATTAGGTGATTACCTATGGTAGTTGGTTGAAAGAAATATGTATATAACGAATTGACTTTTGTTTTAGTGACTTCAAGTCAGTGAAATAAAATAAAACATAATGTTATACTATTTTTTTAATGATATACCTTCAACTTATTGGTACACCGATTTCTGCGTTTTACTTTTTACTCGATAATTGTAGCTATTAACTTGAAAGTATAAAAATATACACGAATAACAAACTCAAAATTGAACGTACAATACTAGCAATACTACAATGTACGAACCATCATAATTATAATTATTTTCATAACTATTTGAATGAAGAATTATTTTCATAATTATAATTATTTCTAACATTCGGATATTGAGTTGACGGCTGTTCTACGTCCTACAGACTAATGTTGGCTTAGCTGGCACACCTTGAGGACAACCCAGCGCACTAGAAACATGGCATAACATGTCTTGGAGAACTCGCCTCACACAGGAAGACAGAAAAGGCTGCAACACTTAACTGATATTCAACGATTCAAATTGGGAAATTTGCACAACGCTGCATTTGCGTTTAGATAATAACTGCAGGCTTTTACGATCAGCTGCAGTGTGTAGTTGAAGCGAAAACAGCTGTTTTCAACACGAGTAGTGGGGCTAAAGGAGTAATTTTAGTCTCTAGGCAAAAATAATCAGCTGTAGTCGAGGAGCTGTCTATTTTCTAACATTCAAATTCGTCCACTGATTTTGTAAATTAAGTAGTCCCGATTTATAACAATATTAAAGTTATCAAGCTGTTTATTTCGTTTATTATCGTTCCATATCACGCTTGTCTCACTACTATAACATTGACATTTACTCTTTACTTACTTACAACTTGATACTTGCATACTTCATCGCTGACCGACAAAATCATCGTTTATAGTTTTGATAGTTTTATTATTATTTTTAATCGTGTTTAAATATTTAAACCTTACAAAGATATATCACCTTTCTTTTTATCTGAAAAACTATTGCAGTAAATAGTTTTAAAACGTGGTTAGAAATTTTTATAAGTAAAACAAAACAAAGTACTAAAAGTGTAAAAATTGTGCTTATCCAATAACAGATGTCAAAACTATAAACGCATTTGACATTCCATCTGTATCAGTGGTGACAAACATGTTCTGCAGACCACTTCGCCACTTCACCGCTTCACCGCTTCACCACTTCACCGCCACCACCCGATGTTTATTGTAATTGTAACTTTTTCAGTTATAACAATATTAGCCTTGGGTTACTCTCGGGTGTTAACCAAAAGCTTTTACACGCAACCATTTCACCAATAAAATCTTGGATAGGAATTTAGATGTAACATTTCTACATACCTTTGTAAACTAGTTTTTAAGATAGGTGCAACAATCAAGTATATCACCGTTACCTCTATTGTACTCTCTCTACAAGTAGGAAATATTGTGTAATCGTCTATATAAACACGTGTCCATCTTATTTGGTATACATTTTACTGAACGAGGACAGGTAAACCTCTTTAACTGATATGTTGCGTTTGTTCGAATGTAAAATAGTGACAAGTCTACAATTGACAACATCTCTGAATTATTCAGCTGGTCCATTATGATGACAAATTAGAAAGTACGATGAATCTATAATCAGTTTTATTGTGGTGTAAAAATCAATCTTAAGTAAAGTTTTTCTTTATATAATATTTATAACTAGGCATGGCCTTTCTTTAGCCAAATTTGGAGTTTTAAAAACACAATCGTAATGGAGGGTTCAAAGGACCATGTTGCCTTATATATGTGTAAATTGATTTTTCTAAAAATAGTTAAAGATGGTTTAATTTAGTGTAAGTGTCAACCGGACAGACGATTATAATTTAACAATTTTTATAAAGTGTATTTTCGAACAGCGAATGTGTAAAAATTAGTTTATTGTAAATAAAGCATTTTTTTTCATTTCACTTTCATTTCAAAGTAAGGAAATGCATATTTAGGAAAATGCTAATTTATTTATTTTTTTATTTAAAATCGAAGGAATGTATTCAAGCATAACAATCATTATTGTTTTTTTTTTCAGAGTCTTAATATTGTAGGTTTTATAGAACATTTTTCATGTGGTAATTTCATAGCAGATTGACGATACTGGGTTACTCGGGTTTACACAAACCAAACCACAATTTTAGCTTAAATCAGTTGACTCTGGATGTTCACGTTAGTCTAATTGGTATTAATTGGTATTCGCTTTTCAATTAGTCCGAACTAAATGCACCAGGATAACTTTAGATGTAAGCAAAGTCAATTTAGTTGGTTGGGTAACAGTTTATGTAATTATTAATGTTGTTTCGCTCTTCTATAATTAATTGTTATGATAAAAGTAGCTGAAAAGACTAGCATAATTTACTTTGAATAGATGTATTTAAGTTAAAACGTTCATAGTAAGCAGTTTGTTGGTTGAGAAAACACCTCATGTTAACAAGATTTAGAGCTCCACTTTATCTTTTTAATTGACAACCCTTTGGTTGACGCACGGATGTTGCAGCATGCGGGGTTTTATTATAAAATTTTATATGTAATATATCTCCTCCACTATGAGAAATTATGTCAAAATATTTCCTACACAAAATTCAGTAGCCTAATCCTCTCAAAACTCTGCTTTCTAGTAATGTCGATGGTTTCGTAAACATAGACAAGAGTAAAGTAAGCCGTTTTAAAATATTTGATGCTCTGTAGTGATATTTCATAACATTCTTACTAAAGCTAAATCGTTAGTTAGTAATCTTTAGTTAAACAGAAGTAAACCTGTGGCACATATCAATCTCAAGTTTTCCCGCTCATATGAGTCTTAAGATTATGCCTGGTACAGCAGTATTCGACTATAGATCTCGTACTACTGAAAAGTAATAATTATGGCCCTATTTTAAAGTTGTGGTCCCGTCACAGCTACATGGTCCTGAAGAGAAGCATATTCACAGATGCTTTATTTAGTCAGGGCTAATTTATCCGCACAGTGTTGCATTAACGAGTTACTAGCACTTGTGTCCGCACCTTATGCAGTATATAATCGAGACATTATATGTAAACTGTTGGTTTTAATACATTTCTTAAGCTTTCCAAAACATCAAAATGTTAAAAAGGATTTATAAACATAGTTCAATAGACAAGCGACCTAAATAAATTTATCTCCAAGAGACAACTATACCGCTTACTGAGTTTGTACAGTCAATGGGTAAACCTTTCTCATAATTTAAAATTATTTCCTGGAAGATTAATGTGGTTAATTTATCTAACTAACGCCATTCCTTTACTCATGTTCGAATCGAGCTGGTCTGTATCTAATAGATGTTTCAGAGGTTTAATATAAAATGTCTCATATTAAACGGTGTTTTGCAGTTTTTATAGACCCCAAAATGAATAGGTTACGTAGTCCCATTACCCGGAAGACTAAGTTAATACCTAATTCCCTATAGGCTCCCTGCAATGAAACATCAAAAGGATTCAGCTCAGAGTAAAAGCCATAACATACTATAAAATGTAATCGCAACTGAGTAATGTTCTGTGTCGCAGGAGAGGAGCCAAAGTTGACCACCTTCAGATTCTGGACAGTCTCCTCAAGAAGGACTACGACCGTCGAGCCACGCCTACAAATCATCTCAGTATGTACCATACTACTGTAGAGGAAATGTTATATTTGATTAAAACCCACCTTATAGTTCTTAGATTACTGCGAGTGTCATGGTTTTGGTTTTTTTTCAAAGTGGGATGTGTAATAACTTTTGTCTCATTACCAAACAATATTTTTAATGGATAAAGTATTCCTATATATTAAAATTAATAGGTATTCATTAGGTATATGTGTGTATGTGTATCACATCCCAGTAGCAGTAAACCTAAGTAGTCGTTAAACTTAATTTTATTTAAAACGGGAATATATATATATATATATATATATATATATATATATATATATATATATATATATATATATATATATTACACTATTAAGGAATTATTAATTATTCATTATTATTAAGGCAAATATAAATATGTCAGTGCATCTCTTAGCCTCAGAGATTACCTCATTTAATTACATACATTTCATTTTATTGACACAGAAATAGCAGAAACATATTGCAAATGTGAAGAATAATGAGGAGATGTAAGATATTAAATTATTTTGTAATAATCATTTCCTTATCCTTCGTCAGTATATTTTGCGGTATTTTGACTGATATTCTTTCCAACCCCCAATATTAAAAGAATATTTAAGAATTATGTTGATTAAGAGGTAATTTAAAACCAAGAGTGATACAATTGTAGCTGGGAGTTATCAGATTAAATCTTCACACCCGTCTTAAACTTGTTACTACCTGCGAAATGTGATTTCAAGTTCACAAGAGCAATCAACTCCCTTGTAGTTATAGCTTGTTGTGGATAATAAACCATAAATCCCAACAGGTTTGATTAGGTTTACAGCCTTGAGAAAAAACGGGTTCATTTCTGAAGGTGGGAAGCAACACCGTGAAACTCCCGGGAAATATACACTGCTGTCAACTAACTGTGAAGCCTGAGAAAATACATTGAATACGAATTTAGGCTATGATTATGACAACATTGTTTTATGCGTAGATAGTCCAAACCAGAATATATCTTTGTCATTCCAAGGAATAAGTTTTTTTTTGCAGATAAAGCAACGACTGTATACTGCGAACTATACATCAGAAGTTTTGGATCTATAAGTCCCGTCACCATGGTAAGCTTAAAAATATTATATAGTCTAGGTATTTGCGGTACAGTCGTAACAATATAGCTAAGAGGAAAGTAAACTCTTACAATCCGTTGGCTTGGTCAAATACTGGAAATTCAAAGATTCTAATCCATTTTTAATGTTTTTAATTACATTTGGATATAATTTATAAAATAAAATTGAGTCTTTCCAACGAACTGCAAGGAATTTGGACACTGTATAAAAGATGAAATAACAATTCCTAAACATGTTATCAAATCTGTTTCTTGAACACTTGTGTTTGAAGTTAAATACAAAAATATGCGCGCATGGCCTCAACGCTCTAGAATGCGTTAGTATTGTTTTAGTATGTACTATCCTAAAAAATACAATTCCTTCGAAAGGCATTTAATAAGTCTTAGAAAAGTCTTGTTTAATTGATGACTGCTAACAGGGGTTTCTCTCTATAATATATCTTTGTTTGGCTCCTCAAAACAGCTAACAGATAAAAACGATAATTTAACTTCCAAACAAGATCAAATAGATTCAGGATTAAGTTAAAATATCAAATACAACCTCATTTAATCCATTAAAAATGCAGTTTTCCATATAACTAAAACCTCTAAAACAACACATTATCAAAAAAGTGAAGAGCATGAATATATCTTTTTCTGGACTCACTGTGGAACTACGTGTGTTTGTTTAAATCTTCTAACACTCCTGATTTGTTCTACAGGACTACGAGGTGGATCTCTACCTAAGACAGAAGTGGCAAGACGAGCGTCTCAAACACCCGGACATCACTGGAGTGTTGGATCTTAACGACCCCAACTTGGTGAAGGCTATATGGAAGCCCGAAGTGTACTTCCCTAACGCAAAACACGCAGAGTTCCAGTTTGTGACGGTCCCTAACGTCCTAATCCGCATCAATCCTGATGGTGAAATACTTTACATGTTGAGGTCAGTGGACTTGGTAAAAATAAAGCCAGAATAAAAATACTTTACAATACATCAGTATAGGAACCCAAGCCACGAGAACCAGTTACCAACCAATCATATTGTGTACCTTATCCAAGTATACTGTTATGAAATATTTCTTATTATTCATAATATAAATCATTCGGTAAATAGATCATGATTCATTTACCGTAACATAAGATCTCTCTCTCACTCAATGATAACAACCATTAATTATCGTAACAATGGAAAATATATTTTAAAATACCTATTAAAACCGTAAATCCTATAAATCCTATCAATACCGTATAGGGGGTGCATGCGAGATATTTGACTTACCTATGTACTTATGTATGAAGGTTTAACATAAATATGTCACTGTAACTTACTGATTTCTTGATGATTATAATTTTGATTTCTTGTATTATTTCTCGCAAAGTGACTGATTCTAAACAAGAAAACGTTTATTGAATTTAAGTTATAAATCACTTTTAATTTTTGTTAGTGACTGAAAAAATAGTTATTCTTTAATGCCTAAGGGGAACATATAAACTGATTTTGAAATATTGATGAACAGCATATTAAAGAGAAATTAATATTTTTTGTTTCCAAATATTTAGAATTTTGATTAGTTACTTTTTACTTGTTAATCTTGGTTAGTCGGCTACTCATCACATAAATAAAATTATACACAACTTATTAAAAAATGTGGAGGTATATCAAGTTTACATCAAAACTCATCTTCAGCCTCTGGTAACAACATATCAAGACATTTTACTTGAATATATCACCGAAAAATACTGAGATACTGTCAAGATTCTATCAATGCATTCATTGAAGGTATCAGTTTAATAGTTATAAAATTCTGAAACGGATTAAATGGTTAAGATTATAAACATCTCGCGATATTGAAGAGTCACTACAACATGGACATTGGACAATGAAACAAACACCACAGTTCTATCAGACAGACCTGATATCGATGGGTTCATAAATATTTGTTGATTGAAGTCAGTTTTTGTTTACTTAAATTTGGAGCCAATGTTGGTTTTTAATATCGAATATGCAATGGCAATGCTAAATATTCATGGATCACTAATGTCTGTGGATTCACGCTGCTAATTGTTTGGGTTTTTTGCAGGGGATACCCTTCCTGTTTTGTCCGCAATATAGGTAGACGATATAGGTAGATATTAATTTGAAGATAGGTCGGTAATTTCTATAAAAAGATTTAAATTTGTTTATAGGATATCACTCTATGAACACTGGTAGAAGTGTTTTTTTTATTCATTATTACCTATTAATTATTGTTATTTATTAGTGTGTTTATTTATAAATAAGTTTAAAAATGTTTTAATAATCTTTATGAAATAAAAATAACACATCGTTTGTTAAGAGAGAGGATTAAATTAATACAAGGACGCTGTGCGGACAAGGTTTTTGTCAGTTTGTTCACACGGATAAAAGACTTACGTCTCAAATATCAAAGGGGTTTGAGACCTTTGAATTTCCTACAGTTTTACAAATAAAGAGACAAACAAGAAATACAGGGTGTCCCACAAAGAGGTTTAAACGTTTGATTTTATATTTCTTTCCCATTTAAAGACCGAACATTTTGAAACTTTACACAACATATGAAGCAGGGTTTTAAAATATTCTGGGAAAATTTCAGCTCCCTAGCTCATGTAGAAACAAAATGGTGGCATATAAATTTGTATTCACTAATTATATTATATAGGGGATAGTTTAAACAAGAGGTGGGAGATTAAAATGTATCTAATAAATAAATATTTTTGTTTTACCATAGTTATAATATTTAGTCTCGATTAAAAAACCTACTTATATTGAATCCGGTCCTCACTGTTGGATAATAGAATATGATTAAATAGGTGTGATCCTGTCTCAGCTGAGTAGAGGCAATATGCCGGTTTAAAGGCACTTGGGGCACGTTTTCCCATAAGAAATAACATGGGATCATTTTTTGGCCACCAAAACCCAAAATCCTGATCTTTGTCTAAATATTCCTATATAATTGTCAAACCTTATTTCTTACTTATTCCCCATAAATATATTCGATATTAAGCTAAAAAAGCTATTTCTTATATTTATTGACCCTTACAAGTGTAAATGTAGAGTAGAGGCAATATGCCGGTTTAACATCACTTTAGGCACGTTTCCCCCATAAGAATAACATGGTGAGCTTTTTTTGACCACTTTTTTAAAAATCCAGCTCTCGGCCCATACAAGCCTATATAAATGTTCAATACCATTGTATAACACTATTACTATTTCAAATCCACATCCATTCTTAAAATCATCAACTTGACAGTGCGAGGTTTGTATGCGAACTTGGGCGCGCTCCCGGCTCATGGCGTGCTCCCTTGGACATCCTTAGTGGAAATCCATGAATTCTGGCTACTTGGGAACCCAAACCATTTGACATATAATAAATCACCTTTTCTCCTAATAACCTTTTCTATCAAATACATGTCTTTATATTTGGTCTTTAACAATTCCTCTGTATAGAAGCCTCCCCTGATTATATTACCATTTTCATCTTTCAAGATATAAGTCACAGGCTTTGTATTCTTTACTTCTGCTATTGTAAATAGCTCCCCTGTCCAATTCGGGGTATATCCTTTACTAAAAACATGTTTATACTTGGAAATTCTCACACTATCACCTACCTTATATCTTGGCTTTTTAACTTGCACTACTTTAGAAGTCAACCTCTCATGCACATATTTACTGTTCTTAATATTCACTTGGTTAGGCTTCATTCCTATAGATCTATGCACCTTATTATTATATTTTCGAATTAACTTTGGAAGTAAATCCAACCATTTATAACTCCCCTGAGCACTAAATTCCCTATATAACCAATTCTTTAAAGTTCTCTGAAACCTCTCCACAATTGCAGCCTTAGTTGTAGAAAATGTGTGATAGTGATTAATATTTAATTGTTTCATTAGTTTGCTAAAATATTGATTAAAAAATTCTTTTCCATTGTCAGATTGAATGTTTTTAACCCCCTTTGGTATAATGGTTTTAATGGCTTCTGTAACCACCAAACCTGTCTTATTCTTTAGCGGAGCAGCATAAGCTTTTTTAGAAAATGTATCTATTAAAGTTAAAATATATTTATTGCCAGAATTCTCTCTAGCATAGTTTTGCATATCAATTAAATCTATTTGTACAGTTTCGTTTATACCTAATACTTTAAAAGACCTTCTAATGAAATTCTTTCTTGCAGGCTTATGAAGTTCGTATGCAATTTCATTAATTTTTTATAACATCACTCTTTCCTTGTACTGTAAATATATTACCATTAGCCCCAATCAATAGATTATCTTCCATTCTTTTAAATACATAGTTTTCTGGTATATATGGTCTATTATCTATATACTTAAATCCACTCAAAGATGTGGGGTCGGCAACTAATAAATCAGGATTGTATTCCATCAAATTAAATTTTCTTCCTGCATATACAAATTTTGATCCATCATAATACATAGCTTGTGACATTAAACAAATATCATCTAAATATTCCCCCATTGGCAGATTTCTTATATATTGTTTTTTGGCATCCCAACATTTTTCTTTTTTATCAAAAGTTATAGTCTGTTCTTTTGTAACACAGTCAGTGTCATCAACGGCAGGTTTAACACGTACTAACCTTTTATTATTAAAATCCCAATAGCCTGCTTCCATTTTTGGAACTTGTGAAACATTCACAGCATCCTTACTATCTGTACCTTCTATCAAATTGCTAAGTTTCTGTTTCTTAGCATTCCAAACACCATTCTCTGATTCTAAAAATTCATAATTATTATCGTCTTGTACAAATTTACCATCTTCTTTTCGTATTAAAGTCTGTTGTAAAGTGGGCACATCATTTAAACTTTCACCCTTTTCTACATTAGTAATTTTCCGTTTCTTAGCATTCCAAACACCATTCTCTGATTCTAAAAATTCATAATTTTTATTGTCTTGTACAAATGTACCACCATCTGTTCGTATTAAAGTCTGTTGTAAAGTGGGCACATCATCTAAACTTTCACCCTTTTCCACATTAGTAATTTTCTGTTTTTTAGCATTCCAATTTTTATTCTTAGATTCTAAAAACTCATATTTAGTTTTACCTTGTAAAAATACATCACCTTTTCTAGTTAATGTCTGACCCAAAGTTGATACATCATCTACAAACTCCCCATCTTTAACATTACCAATTTTACGGTTTAAACAATTCCAACTATCGTCTTGTAAATTTAAAGTAGGTTCATTACTAGCCCTGGGTTCTGTAGGCTTATTATATGGATTATATAAACGATAAAATTTATCTATAAACATATTTTTATTTAATAAATAATTCCACTTTCTCTTAATTCCTCAATAATGGAATCTATTTCATTATCCACTCCTGAGTTACCGGCTTGGCGACTTAGCCAAAGAAGTCTTAACCTATCTACAAGCTCATTAGGATCATCCCAATAAATATAGTCTATTTTATTACCAGTCACTTGTCTCAAACCTTCACCAACAGATTTAAAAAGAGGTTTAATTATATTAAGATATTTAGTATGTCTATTACTTGAAATTGGTGCACCATCTTTGTAACTCTTTAAATGTCCATTTGTGGCTTCCAAAATCTCTTTATAATTTTGCAAATCAACCTGAGTATAATCCTCAGGTTCTTTTAAAGTTAACAACTGCCACAAGCCTTTTGTCCCCTTGTAGGTTTTATTTGCAACTGTGACATCATCATTGGCAATATCAACTTCCTTATTTCCAATAAAAAATTTATTTGCTTCTCGTCTAATACCATATGTTGTGTCTGTCATACTACTTTTACTGAGGTAATTTCCTAAATAGTCTGATGCTAAAAGACCAAAATCTAATTTCTGTGGAGTGGATTGCTGTAATGGTTGTAATGGTTGTAATCTTGGTATCATTGATATTCTAGATGGAGTCATTGGGAGTATCTCCATTTGAGGCCTCTCTGT